ATGGAAAGCTGATGATTGTAGAGATGATAGAGCAGAAAATGAGCTACAGCTGGGTAAGCTGTAGTACATTACAAAGATATACATGTACCGCGACAGAAACATTAGGCGTCCTGGTGCGGCGCGTTCAGTCGCCTGAGAACATTACAAACGAGAGATTCAGCTAATTTTCAGATGAGTCTCTCGAAAATACCAAATTAGTTTGCAAATGAGTGTATATTTAGTGAGACGGGGGACTTCTTTCACACCGTTACACACAACGGTGAATCCCAGAAAATTACAGCTGTGAGTCAAACGGGGGTTCTTCAACCTACAACAGCGTATTTTCTTTTTAACGATTACCCCGAGCAAAGTAATTGCTCACAAACGCCTCAGTGTGTCCGCAGAAAGCCTTCTAATTTGTAGTATTTGAATTCAGAAGGCCGGTATAGTTGTATTGTAGCACCGAAATCCGGTCTTCCTTTGATAATGGTAAGATAATGCCCAGCGTTTGATAAGCGTCTCAACTTTGTGTGATCACGCCGCAACGATTTGAGCGTGAAAATTAAAGCACGATGGAGAGAAAGGAGGAGGGACATCCATTTTACACTACAAGAAATTGTTAATTGTGGGCTAACAAGACCAGTTTAGCGCAGGTACCACAGCGATAAAATCAATCATGCCAAAAAAACTGAGATTTGCTTACAATAGGTCACCTTGAACTGGTCAGTTTGTAAACACACTCATATAGATGGTGAATGGAAGCGTTGAGACAATTAAGTTACAGTGAGATTAAATGGCATTTAGACTCCCGGAAATATTACGTACACTAAAAGTGGAGAGATTCATTGGTTTTCTTTTAAAGGATAGAAAGATGTTGGAGGTTTTGGGTGGGCGAAGCGTCGCTAGTGCACAGCACGAAATGTACACCGCACTGAATATCATCAAACTTGTGGTTACTAGTAGCTGAAAGTGCAACGAAACACATGTGGGTTTAAACTCGGGATGGATTTACTGGATTAATGACCAATCCCAGTGTCGGTTGGGTCTGGGTAAGCAAGAGGACCAGTAAGTCTTTCAGGAGGCTAAGGGAATGTGAATAAAAAATTTGCTCGTCCCATCGGACTCGGTTAGCCGTAGCCACGTCATTTTTCACAGGAATACTTTGATTGATGGACGCCTCGTAACGGTCGCCATGGCAGGTGTGGTAGTAAAAGGATATCCGTTTCGGTGGCTTATGAGCCTTGAGCTGACTGGTGCCAAATCAGGAGAATTTGGTTATACACATGACGAAAAACCATTTTGTTTGTTTTTTAAGGCTCGTGTAGAGAGAAAGTAGGAGGGATGGTGACCTAATAGGACATTGGGAGTGGCTACTACGAAAGAGGGAAACCACGGAAGAAGACCGGATGGGATTAGATAGGTAAAGCCTACTGGGTGTAAGAGGCATTCAATAAGTGAGTTTGTTTATACAAAAAACGCAACAGCCAGTGTGGCTATGCGAAAGATGGCATGTCATTTAGTGAACCTAAACAGAGGTAAAGATAGGTTGAATGGCTTAAGAATCAGTGACTCTTAGATTGCTGATATAATGCAAACATAGGGCAGAGCGAACCAGTCAAACTGGAGTTAGCTTTACATAGTTGAGGTTCACTCATCTAGCAGTGGAGATTTGCGTGTCACTCAAGGTGACCCGCTTGATGGAAGGCAATAGCTGATAGATTTTTCTGCATATCCGTTCCAGCCGTGTCTGAGTCCATCTAAAGTTTAACATTTACTGGCACATTTACGGCTACGCCAAGGTGTTGTTGCACGTTAAGTCTTTGCCAGACAAGCCCTACCCCATTTTCTTGACCTGTGGGCGTACCACGAGGAGGCGTTGAGCGTCATCCTTTTGTGATGCTGTAGATATCCCTCGACATGGTGACCTGCTTCAAGGCATCAGTGCGTTTCAGGAGACTATTTTAGTGTGTTCAACACTCCGACAGTTACACCACAACTATTTCAACAAACGCGGGTGTTGCTTCCAAAAATTCTTATTTCTTCAGTTGTGAAGATGAATTATTCATTGACACTGGTATCTAAGCTATCATTTGCTTGGGTTGCGAAGCTCAAGATTTGTTTAGCTCACGAACTTTCCCGTTACATAAAAGGCATTTGTAATTAGCACATTCGATAGTCTATTATCGGACGTTTTAATACCTCTCTAGTAGTCACTACGCAGAAAAGCCACAGGAGTGGACAGCACCCCTTACCATGTAACGCACCTGGTGAACATGGGGGCTAAAAATGATCCGTGTTTATAGATACACTTGGGATACCTTATCTTTTGTACATATTGAGGCAAATTCAGTGGATGCTTGACGTGAATACAAGAAAACTTAGCAGGCCTTGATTTAGTAACTATATAATAGGACTTTGTAAGCTCTAAATTGCTTCAAAATCCTGGGGCTATGCTCTTTCATCGCCAGCCACATACTTTAGTCATCATTGACGCACTTATGCCAATATTTGGCTTTGGTCTTTCAACGGATGCCCAGGCGGGTAGGTGATTACGATTATTTTAGCAAACGTGATGGCCTCCCGCCCAAACATATGCAGCCTGTCTTTCAATGGTGTTATCCGACCTCAATGATGGTATAAATTTTTCTCAGCAACTTTCGCGGTTCTACACTCTCTGCCAATTCAGGCGGCTAAGGCCACCATAACGATGGTTGCCCCTGCAAATGCATGAACTCGATGCTTTGCCCAAGCCTAAAGTTGCTGATACCAAATTTGGCTGAGTAATAACGGCCAAATTCCCTACAACAAACAATTCTTAGTACCTACCCTTTAAAACTCCAGCAGATGGTGAATATTTTAGAAGTTGGTGCCCAACCTTGCGCACCATGAACCTGCTTTTTGATTAGGAACTCATAACTGACCCAATATGATTAAACAGCGACACTCCTATCATCACATAAAAGGAGCGCCCCACGACATTTGGAATTAAGTTTGCATGCAGCTGCTTGAACCCACCAAACGTCTTTAAACATCTACAGTCTCCTTACTTTCCCAAAAGCTTCTCGGAGATCTGCCGATTCATTAGTCCATTTGTTAACTTGCTACATCCACACAATTAAACGATGTGCAAAATCGGGAACTTGGACACATTTATTCATAACGCGAACGCAGTGGTTGTAACGGCGTTTTGATAACTTGAACAACTGGCGCCAAATTTAACAATCAAGCTGGCAACACTTTGAACAAATGGCTATGCGGATGTGCAACATATTAACATTAAAAGTAGTAACATGGACACAAAATTACGAAACTCAGCGAGTTTTGATAAACTATGAGGTCCTCTAAAAAGCAAGCAAAGCCTATATGGCTAAACAGTCAACGCGTGATCAAAAGCGGACCGCAAACTGGTGCATTAAAACAAATTTATTGCAGACCGAAGTTTTGGTACAAAATGGTATATGAAAAGCGATCAAACGATTCGAGTGGCAAACTGAAATAGAGTCAATTTATATCAATAATGGGAAGCGTGGTTCATTTGAACTAGCAACCGGAAAGCGACGTGCAGTATTCGCACAATGGAATTGAATTTTCCAAAGGTACGAAGTACCCCTGATAGACAAAAGACAGACAAGAAATCGAGTTTTGCATAACGGTTCAAACTTTTGTGCCCTACAAGGTCATCCCGGGGTCTCAGCGATGGCAGAAAACTATTCCACCAGAAATTTCCGATAGATGCATTGTTGTTTCGGTGGGCGATGAAAGTAAGTGATCTGCAAAAATATGGACGTGGATTGGAATGGTTTTTGGTTTGAGCCTATACGCAACAAAATGCAACATTTTGGCATAGAATGTATTATTCCGTTCACAAACATTCTTTAGTTTGCCGTATATTTCGGCCAACGAGCTCCCCGAAAGGGGCAATTCTAAGGATATATAAAGTTACTCCAGTGGATGCTATGTAGTTAGTCATTGAAAAGCTACTTGTGGATAAAACTGTAGATTTTCGAAAGTTCTATTTCCATAACACAGCACATCAGCTTTTTATACCATTGACCGTGTGTGGAATAATTAGTTTTTCTTTCCTCCGTTGTGTCGGGGCCTCCCACCTCCAATTTGTATAGTTCGGATTTTGCTTGAATGTGATACGCTCCCTGAAAGACAGGAAAGCCACAGTATATATATCCCTGCCTTCAATGTCCACCGCATTTTCATATTGCCAGTTTGAGATGACCACTTCTGTGTGAGATAATGCCCACTCATTTTGTGACCACCCTGCTTCCACGCACAGCTGATTACTCATAAGTGACATCATTCGTTTCTTCGTTCCGACTGTATCATTATGATCATGCCTGACGGTATGCCACCTAACAACAGGGAGTATAACAACCTTTGAGCGAACTACGAATTTTGACAACACGCAAAATTATCCCGGTCACCTATCGTGGCTGCTGCGGATGGACACAAGGGGCATATTGCCCAATCAAACTAAACGCACTGCGAGAATTCAGTTTTGCTACTACACATTGTCGTGCGTCGTTCGGGGCCTTTGCAGGTTCTTCCAACCACGGTTTTGTAAATAACTTCCGCTTATAAGGTGGCACTGAAACGTACGATTCGGCGCGCCAGTTACTCTCAATGTTGGAATAGTTAGGCCGATTTTTCTGCTTCTGCAAGCCATCTTCTTCAGACGACGACATGCTTGCGGATAACTTAACCTGCAGACCGAAACCTAGAACACTAGAGGGGCAGTGGACGTCATTGGCAATAGCAGCGGCACTCACTGGTCCTCATCGTAATTTCACATGCTGGATTATCGAACAGACTTGAGCTTGACGGGCGCCCCAAAAATGGAGCCCAGTGAACACGAAAGATTATGAGGACTGAAGAAACAAAGGAAACCAAGAAAACCGAAAATTTTTCTTGTCTGATTCATGCAGTCTTTCCACAGAGAGCGGTCGTAAAAGAACCATCAGGGGTGAGCCTAGCGTGACCATGTCCATTGAAGAGAGAAGTCATGATACCTGTGTCTCACATATCGGGCAACAACTCTTGGTAGCCTGCTGGACGATGAACCTGGGATGCCCTGTGGAATCAGGCATATAACTGCGCCACCATACACCTGGTCCGAGGGTCTTCCGACACTGATTGTTCAAGGATGGAGGTGAGGTCAGTGAGCGTTTGGCCCATCGATTTGCCTTTATTTAGGGAAAGGATAGCCCCAGACAGATTCGGAGAATCGTTAATAGTGCCCGTTCTCAAATATGCCCATAGTGAACGTGGTAGACACTACGGGTCAGCTCGCTTCCATTCTCAAAAAGATTCCTGGCGTCACTTGTCCTTCTTTGACTTATGAGGGCCTTCGGGGCAGTGACACGATAACAGCAGGCAGGATTACTTAACAGTTTGTCGGGGGCGCATGTACGTCCCACAATTTTGTTATTTACGGGTTACGAAAATTCAGTTGGATCAGCCGTAAGCTTTGTTCCCCTCAACACGCCTGATCAACATGGACTATCCCGGGAGTTCGCCAGTGCGACAAGTTCTTTCGGGCGTGCACGGATGTACAAGCTTCGGCTGTAGCACCCTTTTGATGCCTAGGTGCCACCACCCGGAGTGAATAAGAGGGCTGGTATACTACTAGTTTGCGTGGGCCTAAACAGGGGCCGTTTAGAGCGTATGAAAAGTGCTCCAAAAGTTCCCATACAAAAAGATGCCCACTCTCTTCATTTCTATTCGATTTGGTGTTCATCGCGGTAGTGAGACGTACGCTAGACCTTTTGAACCTCAGTGTTCGCGTGGTTGCTGACGAAAACTCTGCCTTGGAATGCGCGGCGGCGTCTTTTTCCTCTTTAAAGTGAATGTGAACGTGTCGATTTGATTTGCGTGAACGAAGTCATTTCGTTCTTGAGCTCTAAGCCTCGTAGTATGTTATACGTTTCTGGACATACAGCTCCCGTACATGCCATTTACTATTTAACTGGAGGTGTAAAGCGGGATGCTATTGATGAGGCATGCGTGTAGTTTGCTTTCTCTTAAACCTGCTTTGTGTCTATTGAAGAGTCGCTTTGTAGCATTTGCTTGCATTTGAGTATCAGTCAATGAATATCTAGGAAGGTTCGGGAAGTCGCGTTCAAGAAGTTGGATATTTAGTCTTTGTATGCAAGATGCATATAAGAGTTTTGCTTCTTTGCTGAATAATTTGTAACTGTTTAGTTGGTGTCTTTTAATAAATATCTCAGCAAAGGCCTCCTTCCTTTCATTTGGTGCTGGGACCAGGATAAATTGGAGGATCTCGTGGCCATACCTCTTTGA